CGGGGCGGGCGGGCTTGCCGACCTCAGCATCCTCTTGCGCTCCCGGATGTTGGCGGCGTGGCGCTGGATGCGGTAGGGGCTGCCGCTGGGGTAGAACGCCTCGTCGCCGGCGCCCAGCTCGCCCGCCTGCTCCTCTGCGGCACAACACGCACCGCTCAACACTACTTCTACACACACACACAGGGCAAACATAGCGCGATAAATGTACGACGATGCTCAAGTGTGCAGATAAATCTGCGAATGCAACAAAAAAAACAAACAAAGTACTCTTGTCTGAGAGCATCAGCTACTACCGATCTTAATGTATCATTACTTGCTTTATACACTTGAATTAAAATAAAATGAAAGCTTGTATAAAAAGTTGCGTATGATACACATGCGGAGAAGTGATTTCATTTTGCACGCTAGATTGCGCCACTCGCCTTATCGGTCAGGTGTCACTACTTTTTCTGCTCGTGAAATAAAATGCCACTTTTACCTCTCCTATCCTAAATAACTATTTCAGTAGACAAGCATACAAACAGGTACTTTAATTAATTGTTTGATTGGAATACGTTGGTTGGCTATAGGCGTACGACAAAACAGTCTTTGCTGTACGTGTGGCAAAAAAGCCCTGGCGGTACAAAACAGCAATAAAGAAAACACTGAGACATTAATTTCTATGGCTGCCTCTTCGCATATTGATACCGATCCCAGCAGTGTACATTTGTTAGTTTCCATGAAGTTAAAAAAAATGCAGGACGCAGCTTGTACAAAATAACGTGCTCATTTCAAAACACAAATAAAATATCATTCGTACGTCAGTCTCAATTTCTGTACCAGTTATGTAAATAACTAAATAACAAACATCGTTACAACGCAAAAGTCCATGCAACGCGGACTTTAGAGTGTTTCTGCACGGCATGGTGCGCCTTGACCCACTTCTGAGCCCGCGCGCTTGCTCCATCGCAATCTCCCACGTTAAGCTAAAGTGACAGCAGAAAACCATATTCCACCAGAATTGGCAAGTTTAATTACGTGACTTGAGTCGCGCACTACACCAGTCAAATGAGCACGCTAAATGAAATTTTCCCACCTGTAACAGCAGAATGTGCTGCTAATTCTACATTAACATGATACTGGTGATATTATATTATATTAAATTATATAATAACTTATAATAATGTAATTATCTGTACATAGTAGTTATCTCTCGTCGGATAAATGTGAATCTAGATAGTGACATTATGGGAATTTAGTGATAACTGCACACACCGCCATCACAGATAAAAAATTACTCCTATTTCGAGCGAAACATTCAAAAACTCTTTTATACTTCACACAATACTGTTCACGTGCTTGCTAAATACTGATTTACTCCATGCTATGCCAATCTCTGCGTGGCTCTCACAGACCGGCGCGAAAGACCCATTTCGCGTTACGTGTTGCGTTACGAGCACGCCCAGACCTGCGCGTCAGGCGATTGTCGCAGCAGCGGAGTGGCAGCATGGTGCTACCTGAGGGTTTTGGAACGCAGTCTGACGCGGTTCGACCGATGGCGCTCGAGCTTCATGGACATCCGCCCGCCTTCGGGGGTCGTCGCCCCTCTCTGGACGGAGCTCCCCTGGGTTTTGTCTATCGGATGTCACCAAACGCTCAGCCATAATCGACGCTCCGGTGTGAACGGTCCCGCGGATTCCGACGCCGCGTCTAGCGCGGAACTGCGCCGGTCCGGTCTGCGAGAGCCTTTAAAGAGCTTTTGCACAGCCTAGAGAAAACCACTGGAACACTATCGTTCGAAGTCTTCAAAGCATTTTGAATGTTTTCCTTCTACGACTATGACAAATGCACCTTCCTCCCAACTGTGATGGCAGAACTTAATGCTAATTCAGAATTCCCAAAATGCAACAATCTCTTGTTTTGCATTTCTTTGACAAGAGACTTTATTTTTGTGAGAATATGAGCACGGGTGGAAAATATGAAATATACACCTGAAAAGACAAGGTATAAACTCAGTGCAAAGACATTTTACAACACACCGGAATTGGGTTTCTCATATTTATTAAGGTATTTCAAATTACAGTACTGGTGTCGTGTTTCAAAGCATTGTAGAGTTCATAACATTCCAGGGGCATTACATACCCGTTCTAAAGGCCTGATTAGGCAGATGCTCGATTACCGCACGTGTTATAACGGTGCGTTCACTGACAGATCGTCACGTGCGTACTAATCGCTGGTTACTACGCGACCTCGCACAAACTCTCCTGCCCATCTCGCGGCTGTCCGTTATGGAAGGGCATTATTCCCAAGAACTTCCGCCAGTTCCTGTGACATTCTCGGGTATTTCTCCCATTGAGAACGATTCGACGTCTTGGTGTTGCTTGAAACGGGCTATATTTATCTCTCACCGCGGTACTCACACAACTGACTTCACATTGCTCTCTGTGGAAGTGGAGAACCTCGCAATGCTGCTCTGTTGTTGTGGACACACATTAGTACATCATTTATTTCACGCCACAAACAAAATGGCATGATCTGATAGCAATTTTTGTAGAAAAGAAATAATTGCTATGACTTCTGCTCCAACCCTCGAATTTCGTAACGTTCGAGTTCCTGCGTGCACACAGGCACATGCTTTCAGAATGGCAGACACATGGCACAGACTTTCTCGTTCTAGTTAGATTCCTATTATCTTGAGCAGCAACGTATTTTGCGGTTTTGCCACACCCTCTTACCAGTCACTATATACCGTCGTCTAAAAGAGCTACTAGGGCTTCTAATGGTACCAACAGCTTCTCTGGGGACATTACCAGTGAAAAGCGCCTTTGCGCAGGCCTATCTCGGTTTTGTGCTTTTAATATTTGTTCTTTATATACCATTGTTTGGGTACGAGGAGCCAGCTCCTCAATTACACAAACAAATTGCACACACATCTCATACACAATTGCTTCTCATACCAAAATATTATGAAACGATAGGAATATAGATGACAAACATGAAGGACACGGAATGCCCGCATGCAACGAAATTACTTACGAGATTCATACCACACGCGGGTTTCGAACTCACAACATTAATGACTACTACGTTCTTAAACTCAGCTGCTCCAAGCGCCAATAGCACGACGTCGAATCACTCGACTTTTCCATTGAAAAACGTGTGACGAAATAGTAAGTTAAAAAAAAACAAATTAATAATACCAACGTTGTTCGAACTTCCTTCAACGAGCAAACATTTCACTCGAGTTGATTCCGATGCTTTGATATTTCGTTTGCCTTTCTTCGTTTATTCGCACATGCAGAAGCGGACAATGCGTAAGCTGTGAACGCAGATGGCCTGCCCCTTTTCCCGTGCCCTTATTTGGCGAACTAAAGACTGGCCCTTTGAGACGACCCTGAGCGGTCAGGCTTTCAGACTGCTTTATCCTTTGTTTCTCTTATTTTTGAACTTTTTTCAATTAAAAATTAATTATAATTAATAAACACGATGAATTTCAAATTAAATTTTGTTACGTATGAATTTAATTTTAAAGATTATTAAACTTGCTTTAAAACACCAATGTTTAAAACATCAATGGTTTATGGTCAATGTATCATTAACATAGATTTTATAATTTTGAGCATCGACATGTGGTAATATAGATGTTTTGTTATCGATGTCGCAGCACTAGTTGGTACACATTCTTTTATTTGATACCCTGGGTACATGTATCTTTACAATTATGTCAGCTGCTGTTTTAATGACTGAGACGTTCATCTTTGCGGCAGCTTTACCTTTCTTGTTTCGATGCCACTTGATTAATATTTTGTATCCTAAATTTTGAAAACATACAACTCGAGTTCTATTTGCTGTCTCTTATCTCCATACCTTTGAAGGAGACGATATTTCACTAATCGGCTATCGGGTCGGTTATCTTCGTGTCATCCTATCCCTGTTCTCCCAGTAATCAATCAGATCGTCAAGAAGAAAGTGGCTTTCGTCAGAGTTATCTTAAAGATATGAATATACGAACTCCATGGCTTGATCAGCATCAGTGGCTGGGCGAAATCACTTCTTGTCGACCTGTAGACTTTCTTTCGGCAGAAAATGTGGTACCACTCTGCTTCTGAGACCAAATCCTCGTTACCCAACACACTGATTTTAGATAAGTGAAGCTCTTTGGTCATTTGAAAGAATAATATTCAACGTGACAATCTGTTGATTTATTTCACATCATGACCAGTCATTACAATTGACCTGTCCACTCAACACATTAGAACAAATTCTGATCGGGTTAACACTCTGAAACGCATTGAAAAACCTGTTCTAATTGATCGAAGTAATCTCCATTGATGCAACCGCATGTCAGTACGAGAGCAGCGAGTCTTTTCTAAATATTTAGTAGCACAATTTCATTGATAATGAAAGAGTAAGTGAGTGAACCAGCGACTTTACGACAACGCCTCATGGCGCAACATTAGAACTAGTTAAACTTGTTTAGGAATGAAGACAGGAAAAATGTGGTTTAAAATGATAATGGAAAATGTTACCAAGAAATAATTGCCTATGCCGTAGTAATGAGAAGAATTCTTAACGACAAAAAATGTTGTTTGGAACGCTAAGACTATGATGGATATGTGTTTTCCGCCAGAAGACGTTGAAATTTACATATATTATACGTTCGTGTACGATAGTTTTTTAAAATTATTTAAGGTTAGAATTAAACTTTAAGACAAACACTATAATATTGCGGGTAATGGAAACGGTATGCAGACACACAAGCATCATTCCCCGAGCGGGATTCGAACTCGTGACCCTTGAGGCACGAAGCACCTAAGGCTCTTCAGCTTCGGCTTCTCAGGCCGGCGAATTAAATACTTATTAGCTCGCAGTTTTAAAAATGTAGATTACAACTGGAAATATTGTTTTCGAACTGTTGCTATCAATTTATGGCAATTTTTTAAAAATTAAGCGAGTGAAGTATCAAAAATTGTTGGCTTCGGAAGGGGTTATGGCTCCCATTTACGTCCCCTGGCTGCGTGCATGTCGAGCTTGCTGTGCAGCAGGTGTTGTCATTGCCCTTATTATACCACCGACACAAAAGACGAAACTTGATCAGCGAGAAGCAGATGTCCCTCGCGCGTAGTTCGCTCCCTTCCCGTGCGCCCCCGCGCGCGCTGTCAGATCGTCGAGATATCGATTACCCCCCCCCCTCTGAAGAGAGGTGAAGCTCG